TAGGAAGGTGAATGCAGAACTACAGATCAGTATCTTCTCTGCCTGCAGACAGATGGAGCATTCCTTACTCAAAGTGGCTGCTGAGCAAGATGTGACTTGGGGTGGGGGGAGGGAGAGAAAGCCTGCTCTCAGCCACTTTCCTGCTATGAGTTTAGAGCACATAACCTGTAGCTTTGCAGTATCCTCTGGAGGTTTCTGATGTGCAGAATAAGCTACTTCTGAAGCCTCTTTTCTGTAGGCCATTAAGTCTCTTGGCATTGACGATGACTCTCCCGTGGCAAGGAAACCATTTGCACTTTCGTCAGCTATTCTAAATGTCAATAGATTGACGCAGTTGGTTATGAGAATACCTGCCAACATTCTGAGGCCCAAGCCCTTACCTCCTGCCATCTAGACCAGTGCTTCTCAGTCAGGGGCAGCTGTTCCCCCAGGGGACGTTTGGCAATGTCTGGAGACGATTTGGGTTGTCAGAACCAGGGGTGGGAGGTGCTAGTGGCATCAGGTGGGCAGAAGCCAAGAGTCTGGCCGAGCACCCTGCAACGCACAGGCCGATCCCCCCAGCAAAGGAGCGGCCCAGAGCAGCGGCGGCGCTGAGGCGGGGAGCCATGGTCCAGACCGTCCCGCCAGACTCCTAACCTGCCTCGTGCTCCACTGCCAAACCAGCATTCTGAACCTTCGCATTTATCCATCACTCCTAGGCTCCAGTAGCCCCAGAGCTCTTCACTGCCTGAAGACCAAATCTCTCCTCCTCATCCTGGCATTTATCCTGAGAGACTTTGCACACTTACGTATTCGTTCCCCAGCAGGAGCTCTGCTTCTCCCAAGTTTTCCTCTGCGCCATCCTCCACACAGCCATCCTTTTACTGATACTACCCCCCAAACGCTCATCCTGTGAGAATCCTCCCCACCTCTCTCCTCTGATCCAGAGCTTACTCATCCTTTGAAACCCACACATACGGCACACCCCTCTGCCACTGAGTCAGACTGTACCGCGCCCTTTTGTACTTATTGGGGTTCATGTGCCTTACGTTGTTTTACAGCTATTTCCTCGATTTTGTCTCCTCAATAACCCTTTGAAGGGGTCCATACTGTATTTCTGGCCTATTGGTCTCAGTTTCCACAGCATAAGGTTTGAAAACTGTTTCAATGAGAGTTACTTGTAGTAAGAGTCATTTAAATGAGCATGAGAAGCACTTTATATGGGGCTCGATACCCAGTTTGATGATCATAAAATTATAGAATCATAATGTCTGTAGAAGCAGCATTCAGGCACCCCCAGAAAGTGCTTAATAGATCTTTTAAATGTAGTTACTGGAGAGAGCATGCGTTCAGACGAGCCTGGTGTTTGGAGCTAACAGCAAAGAGCAACTTCCATCAGAAATCCTACACCGATTAACACACCTTCATGCTAGAGTGACTCCAGGAGCAGTGGGTGTCACATTTTCCCAAAGTGGAGCCTAAGCCAGCCTTTCTGCATTTAACAAGTTAATGAACAGCTTGTGAGTAACGCTTTGCCCACTCTGGCCCAATTTAGAAGGCTGCCAATAGGATAAGATGTCAACGTGCCACTCTCCGCTCTGCTGGGGTGCCAGCTGCGTCCTGCCTAAGTGCCTCTCTGCTCTCAGCCTCTGGCGAGTCTGGTGTCCTCAGCGAAGCCGGCACCAGAGCGATGCCTGGCCTCCCCCCCCCCCGCCCCCGGCGGAAGAGAGCTTGCTCAGAGCCTGAGAGAGAAGTGAGTGGGACATGGTATTCCGAGCAGCTCAGGTTTGGCTTTGGGCCAGGCACTGAGTGGCAAACAAGAAGGAACACATTCCGGGAAGCCAAGGAGCCCTGCCAACTCGAAGGCTGCCCGGCCAGCAGGGCCTGCCGGGCGCCAGGTGCTCCTTGGCCCCGCGGAGGTCAGGCGCGCAGAGGATGAACTCGGGTTTCTCTGGATTATCGTTTCAGAGGCTTAAACCCTCCCTCCCCCTCACCTTCAGTGGGCAAAGCATGTGTACGCGTTACGTTTGAATCCTGTCTGCTCTGGGGCCCAGCCGCGTATCTCTGACCGAAGTCGGAGGAGGAGGAGTGAAAGCGCGCTCTGCCGAGCCGGGTTTCCGCGGTTCGCGCCCTGGGGAGGGGCCGGCGAGGGCGGAGCGGGAGGGAGGCCGGGGTCGGCGCCCTGCTGGCAGCGGAGCCCGCCACACGCACGCACGCGCACACTTGTGCCGCACACCCGCCACTCCTGCCTTCCGAGCGGCCTGACCTCAGAAGAGGTGCAGAGCCTTCGGGCATGCCCCCGGGCCTTTCCCGGGGCTGTGAAGGAACAGGGAAGAGGGAAGAGGACGCGGAGGAACGTCCGCAGGAGCCTGCCCAGCTCGCCCGCTGCGCGGGACAGGCACAGCTCGGGCCTGCGGACAGCAGGGCCTCCTCCGGGGAGGAAGGGTCCGTCCCTCCCGGCCGTGGCTCCAGCTCCTGCTGGGCTTTGCTGCCACCTAGTGGCCCAGGGGTCCTCGCGGCCCCTCAGACGACGAGCCAGGGGCTGACGCGGGAGCCCTCTCTGAGACGCCGACCCGCGGGCCCAGCGCCAAGGAGAGAGGGGCAGCCCCGGGTCACGGTCCCACGCAGCTCGATGGGGGTCCTGGTGCCAAGCCCACCAAGTAGGAGGGCCGGGGCTGGCTGGCTGGGCACTCAGGAGTGCGGGTGGGGGCGGTTCTGACTCCCGGCGTGTCTCCTGCGGGATGCCGTTTCCTGGAGCCCCCCCCCCAATCCTGAATGTCCTTTTCACTGGAACTCCTGCCCCTCCCACGACCCCTCCTCATCTGCCTAAAGCCCACGTTGCAAAGCTGAGGCTCCCATGATATTTGTATGTGTGTGTGTATATAATATATATAACATATGTGTGTGTGTGTGTGTCTTGCCCCATTTCTCCAAAGTTAAGGCAGTTCTTTCTCCCGTATAAGTTAGCTCATTTCAACTTAAAACATGGAAGCTGATACGCCCTTTCTGTGATTTGCTGCCATGAACCACTCCCCAGGAACAGTGAAGAGAGGGCACGTGATCACGTGTGGATAACCGGCCGTACTTTTCTGCGTGTTCCAGCCACACGTTTCTTCCCCGGCAAAAGAAAGCGCTTGGTTTCAGCATCCACTGATTCGACCCGCTCCAAGCTTTCAGGTCTGAGCTTCACTACCCACGGAGCGTGTAAAACCCAGACTCCCTTCTCCTGTCTACCTCTCCAACCTCTTTTAATTGTGGTAAAAATACACATAAAACGTATCATCTCAATCATTGTTCAGTGTATAGCTCCATAGTGTGAAGTACATTCACATTGTCATCAATCATCACCACCTCCAGAACTCTGTTTATCTTGCAAAACTGAAATTATACACATTAAACAGTAACTCTCGTTTCCCTTCCCCTGGCCCCTGGCAAGCACCATTCTGCTTTGTTTCTATGAATTTGACCACCCCAGGTACCTCATGTAAGTAGAATCATACAGGATTTTCTTTTTACGACTGGATTATTTCATTTAGCATAATGTCCTCAAAGTTCATCCACGCTGTCGCGTGTGGCAGGACTTCCTTCCTTTTGAAGGTTGAACAGCATCCTGTTGCATGTGTACCCCACACTTTGTTTACGCATTCATCTGTCGCGTGTCATAGATATGTGGGTCGCCCCCACCTTGTGAATGGCACTGTGAATGTGGGTGTGCAGACAGCTCCTCAAGCCCCTGCTTTCATTTCTTTCAGGAACATAACCAGAAGTGGAATTACTAGGTCTTACGGATCCTATGGTAATGCTGTTTTTTAATCTTTTTGAAGAACTGCCATATTATCTTCCACGGCGGCTGCAGCATTGTACATGCCTACCTGTAGTGCGTGAAGGTTCCAGTTCCTCCACATCCCCACCAGCACTTTGTGTCTTCCATTTCCTTTGATAGTGGCCATGGTAATGGGTGTGAAGTGGTATCTGATTATGGTTTTGGTTTTCACAGCCCGAATGACTAGTGATGTTGAGCATCTTTTCAGGTGTTCATTGGCCATTTGCACATCTTCTTTGGAGAAGTGTCTGTTCAAGTCCTTTACCGATTTGGGGGGTATAGCTCAGGGGTGGAGCGTTTGACTGCACGTCCTTTACCGATTTTCAAACAGGTGGCTCTGTTGGTGAGCTGGCTGCTCCAGCCTGTCCGCACGCCAGCCTCCCGCTGACTAGTGTTCCAGGTGGTCTGTCTTCCCCACAGACGCGTGCTCTTTCCTACCTTTTGCAGTTGCTGATCCTTTGACAGGAATGTTCTTTTCCCAGCTCCTCTCATGATTGGTTCCTTATCCTTTAAGCATCCGCTTAAAAATCATTTCAGAGAGCCTTTTCTGACCACCCATCTAAAGCCATCTCCCTAGTTACTGTCTCCCAGGAACTTGACCACAGACTGTAATTACCTTGTTTGTTCACGTATTTACATTTTCATGGGACGTAAGCACGATGGGGGACGCACGGGTGTCGCCTGACATGTCCGCTGCTCCATCCTCAGGGCCTCGCTTAGTACCTGGCTCAGAGTGTGGGTCAATATTCCCTGAAGGAACAAATCACTACTAGAGGGGGCATCCCAGGGAGAAAGGAAGGTGATGTGGCCCAAACTGGAATTTAATCTCCATAATCAAGGCTTGATGTCATAGAAAAGGACACAGGAGTTTTCTGGCTCTGAGTTCCAGACTTCCATTCCTGAGTCAGCAGCACAGTACTGTCTGAACCAGGGACAGTGCTTTGGAGCTGCCCGGGAGAAGCGAGGAAGCGTTCTCAGTGTCCACCCCCAGCAGCAGGAGGCCCTGTGGTTTGCTGTGGCCATCCATCCTCACCGTGCCTGAAGTATGAGTCAGCTCAGCTGAAGTCCTGTGAGGTTTGCAAAGTTCTTGGGGTTCTGGGAATGACCTGAGCTCTGTCGGTCTCCTTGGTGCCAAATATGTCAGTAAGAATACCTTTAGTGAGTAGTCAGAAGGTAAAAATGAACTCTCCATTCCATAGGACACTAGAAAAATCAGATTTTTATTTAAAAATATTTTCAAAGGCTAATGCCATCACGGAACAACCCAAGGATAGTTGAACCAAGCTCTCAGGGAATCAGAGGCGCATCCACCAATGCCAGCAGGTCTGTATAAATACACGTGGTCTATGAACAGAAGATATGCTGGCCGAGGGACAGGCAGACTTACACCACTCCAAGCCCTGGACCCAAGAGGGCCTCCAAAGCCACCTAGCCCCCTACGTGCCTCTCGCCCTCTCTGAGCCCGGGGCATGGCTGGAGACTCGGTTCACCAGCAGGTTGGCACAGCCACCCATGACTTGGCACCTCTCATGGCCTCTGGCTCAACTCAGCAAGGCTCAGAGAATGGACCTGTTCTCCCTGCCCTTCAGCAAGGACCAGGGAGGGGAGGTGCTGGGGCAAGTTGGATTATTTCCCTGAAAATATAATGGAAAGAAGTGATGAAGGGGGCTGGTTCCAAAAAACTCACCCAGCATAGCACTGTGGAGAAGGGAACAGGGCATTGCACCTGAGACATACAGACTTGGTGCAAGCGGCCCACAAGGCCAAGCTCTAAGCCCAGTCCTGGAACCTGGGATGGAGAGGGGATGAGGGTCTCCAGTCTGAGCTTAGAGCATTGTCACCTCCCAACAGTCCCCCGGGTGTGCATTTGGATGTGTCATAAACAGGACCATCACAGCACCGGCCACACTGAGTAATTTCCACCTGGATTTCTCCCCAATTTACCTCTCAGGTGTCTGAAAAGGGGAAAACAGTGGCTGTTTCTGACACCACCCACCCCATCACCAGTAACTTTTTCCCTGCTACCTCTGGCCTCCTCACAAAGGCCTTTCCAGAACTTCCAACGGTACGTCTTAGCAGATGGGCGTTTCAGGGAGAGCAGGCCAGAGTTTTAAGGCACAGAAAAGCTTTTTAGTATTGAGAAGACCTTGACAGTTGAGAAGAAAGAATCTCTAAGGCAAAGCCACCACGGTGTCCCTTTCTACTCTCTACCTTTCTTGTCCCCAGAGGTATCAGACAGACCCCCTTGGCCTGGCCCCTGCACTGTGCCAGGCCCTCCTTGGACACCCCCATCTAACTCCTGGAGAACGGAGCCCATGGAGCTGTGGACCCTCCTACATGGCCTGCAACAAACACACTGACTGCAGGTGACACAGCGAGCTCTGCCCCGGGGCCCTGACACCGTCATGCCCAGCTACGCAGCCGAGCCCGAGATCCGGGCAGTCAGGCAGGGAGTACAAAGCAAGACCTCAGCTCAGAGCCACCGCCCTTCCCATCCCCTACGTCCCACCTGGGGCGCCCTGGCGATGTCTGAGCACACCGGGGGAAGGTCCAGCACCAGGTCCGTGACCACAGTGAACAAAGGCCCTGCTCCACCTGCCTCACCAGGAAGTGGCAGCTGAGGACACAGAATGCTAGACCTCTGTTTTCCTTCTCAGCGCCTGGCCCCTACTGCAGGCCGCGTCCGCCCAGGTTCAGCCCACCTCTGCGTGAGGGGCCAGAACAGAGTCTCAGCACAGCACACAGACGTGGTCCTCTCCTGCTAGAGTCCTGACCACAGGCCTCTTCTCGTTCAGAGCTTGCCTCACCTCCCTCCAGTCTGCCCCGGTGGGTGCCTGGCTGCCTGGAGAGAAGCCCTCTGGGGCCCAGAACAGGGACCCACGGGGACCCCAGGGAGAGCACAGTATGTTGGGAGACCGCGGGGCCCCACACTGGCGGTTTGGGTTCTGGCCTCTGTCCCACCACTGGAGTGAGCCATGTGACAGTCAAGTATCAAAGCATGGCCTCTGTCCCTTGGGGTGGCTCCTAGTGCTCTGCCTGTGTGCCAGGACTATTTTCAAGGAACAAGTTAATTTTTTTTTTTCATTTAAGTGGTTGCTGAAGCTTAGTGAACAGAATTCCTCAGCTAGCTCCAAAAATCTGGCTTTTTGTCTGAGTCCCAAAATTTAGGAGCTTTGTAAACAGATACTTCAGATCACTCATGAAAGGAGGGAGAAGAGCTGGGGGGAGGAGGAGGGACCTGGAGTGTCTTCCTTCAGACTCAGTCTCACCGCAGCAGCAGCAGCAATCAAGGGGACCATTGGCGGCACCTCAGCACCCAGAGCATTCTTCTCGGAGGAGTGAGGACAAAGGCCAAGTGGCTGTTACCTGCACACAGGAGAGATGCCCAGGTCAGACAGATGGGTCAGCAAGGACCTCCCCCGACGAGAGTGGGTCAGGGTGGCACCCGTGGACCGCCCTGCTGAGGGCCGGCAGGCCAGCTCAAGGGCAAGGCCAAGGCCTGCCAGGTTGTAGGTTTTGGCTCCTGCCCTTAACCCTCAATCCCCGAAGGCCTTGGAAAGAGAGAGGGCGTCACCTGTGCCCAGGGACTGAGCCAGCCCAGTTCAGGGAGCGCAGCTGCCATTCCAGCTGGGAGATGCGGAAGGCCAGGTAGGATGAGGACGCGACCAGAAGGCAGATCCTGGAGACAGGGGTAAGACGGGATCGAGCCCCTTCTCCAGGAAGGGGGCATTCTTACAGGCTCACCAAAAACAGACGTGGGACTAAGCTGCTCTTACGATTGGAGGGGTGAAAGAACCCTTTGCCCTGCAGCTGTGTTCAGACCTGGGCAGCTTTCTCCCCAGAGGCCCCATGGGGGTCCTGAGACTCGTCCCCATGGAGGTGCCCTCAAAGCTCTGGGTCCTTCAGCTGGGCCACCTTCCCTCTGACCAGCCGCCTTGGTCCCACGCCCCCTCCGGGAGGCCACTAAGGTGACCCCTAAGGCGGCAGCCCCCCCAGCAAATGCTGAGGCTGACAGTCCACACCCAGCCGGCAGAGCCAGAGTGGCAGGGCTGCGAAGGAGAAGCGAGGGATGTAATAAGGGAAGGGGAAGGGAAGCCAGGGGCTGGCTGTTCGGGAAGCGTCCCAGCACCCTCACTGCTGTGCTGGAGACAAGCCTGGGCTCCAGAAACCGCCCCCGCGGTGGACAGCGGGAAGGCCGTGGTCCTCCCGGGTCTACCTACGGGCCTCCCGGACTCTGCCAGCCCTCCTCCTCCCCAGTCCTGGGCCGCCTCTCCTCTCCTCAACAGCCTCACACCTTGCTCCTCCCCACGGCGCAGCCTCAGCCCTGAATGATGGGCTGTCATGAAGGAGACACTTTGTCCTGCTCTGGAAGGGCCGCCAGCCACCACCCAGGAGCTTGCGGGTGACTCGAACCTTCCCCTCACTCTGGGCAGCGGCCTCCCCACACACTGGGGCCCCTGCTCTAGACACCCAGACAGCAGGCGGGTCTGCCCACGCCACCCCCTCATCGTCACCTACAGCACGAAGACCACCTTCAGGAGCCGGTAATCCCAGAGCCTCAGCTCCCCGGCGCTCTGGGTCTCCTCCTCCAGCGTCTCCTCCTCCCTGACAGCACTCTCTGCAACAGAACGGCAGTCGGGCACCTTCTGGGGGCAGAGGGCGGGGCCCCAGCACGCTCCCCCAGCCCGTCCTCTGAAGCTGCTTGGGCGCCAGGCTTTCCCGACTGGGTCTGGAGAAGGAAGCAGCTCTCAGAATCCCTGCTGGCTGCGATGACCCCTTTTCACAGAAGAGGGAGGAGGGACAGCCTGGTCTTTGCAAGCAGTTGCCATGGATGAGCTCCCTGAACTCACCAGACCCCAGAGGCTTCCTGGAGGGGAAGAAGCCATCCGTGGAGCCCACGGATGCCCGAGGGATACAAGGGATGTTGTCCGGGAGGGACAGGGACCTGGAGGCAGGACACACTTTTCTCCACTTCATCTCGGGGATGAGGACTTCCTGCAGAGGAGGCAGGAGAAGCTGTCTCACCGTGGCCCTTGGGAATCTCACTTGCCCTAAGGGGTCCATGCTAGGTTATCAAAGCCCGTCCAGACACTACCAGCATGGACGCCTAGCAAGCGTGGAAGCAGGTCCCCAGCAGCGGGAGGAACCACCGCCATCGCAGTCCCCTGTCTCCCTCAGTCTCCCCTGTCTTGCTCCCTTGCTGTGACTGGCCACTCTTCCAGGGAACGGCGTCTTCGAACACTACTAGTGTAGAACCACAGTGGAATCTAGAACGTGAGCCAACCCAGGTGCAGCTCAGATCAGTTGAGTCCAAGAAAGCTCAGCACCATGTATCTTAGGTGGGGTAAGTCATGGCCCCTGCTCATCTGGGCTGTAACCCTGAGCACATCGCCGACCTTGGCAGGAGCACCAGGTGTCCCCATCAACAAAAATGGGAACGTCACCTTCTGTCCCCTGCGTGGCACCGTGCACATTGTATGCTTGGCTAAACGCTTAATAGTTACTGAAGGAAACGCCAAGCGCCCTGGGGTCATTTCCACTCCACCCTCATCCCTGCTCTGCAAACTCGGTTCTGCCAACCCAGAGCCCCAGGGGCAAAAGAAACAGCTGGGATCTCAGCAAATCTAAAATGAGCCTGCCGGGTTCTACAGCGAGAGCCTTCGCAGCTCTCCCCCGGGGACAGCTCTGTCCCCTTGCAGGCCCTCCTGACTTTGCTACAGGAAAGCGGATGGGTTGCGGCTCTGTGCCCATAAAGGTGGGGTCCAACCTGAGCTGTGTTCTGCCCAAAACGCAGCAGTCTGCCCAGAGCCCGGTGGCTCTGCGTGGTACGGCGCAGAGGGCCTAGGGGACCGCCGGCCTGGCCTGGCCCCGGAGCCGGGCCCCAGCTCCGCACTGCCGGC